TAATAGGGGGGGAGGGGGGAAAAAAAACGGAAGAAGAGAAAAAAAAAGAAAAAAAGTAATCAAAAAAAAAAAAAAAAAAAATAATTCCTCGACACATATCGAAGATTGAAAGATCGCCAACAACGTGAAAATCGCCATCGTTTTATTAAGCGCGATGATTCAGGTGGTAATAATATAACGCGCGACGAATCAGTTGCTCGTTAATAGGGCATCGAGGACAATGGGTTTACCCGGCTGACGTGCCGTCGATGATCGGATTCGCGCGCGTCGTTTGTCTCGTATGCGTCGAATGATCGAAGCACGAGGAGTTAAATTAAAACGAGTCGTTACCGATTAACGAGGGAATAGGTGACATGTTTGCCGTCCCCTCGAGTGCCGCGCCAAATCAAATGAAGAAACGAAGCGCGAAGGTAAAAAAAAAAAGAAGAGAAAAAAAAAGAAAGAAAAAGAAGAGAGAGAGAAAAGTAATGGAGGAAGAGGAGGAGGGGGGAGGGAGTAGGGGAAGAAGAAAGAGAAAACAAGAAGGATAAACGTGGGTAGGGAGCGTGTGTAACTCGTAGATAGGTAACTCGTGTGTGAAAGGAGATCGCGCGAAAGGTGGTGTTCGAAAAAAAACCACCTCGACCTCGTCACCACAGGGCGCTTTATAATAAGGTTGTGATAAGGTTGTGAGAAACAAGTTCGTAGCCGTGCTACGAACACCACAAGATTTTTAATTATTAGGTTAGACAAATGAGCATTACTTTATTCGTGGCACTGTCCAAACGCGGCACGGAATTCCTATCCAAGAGAGGATTAAACGCGACGCTTGAACAATTTTAAACTGGACTCGGTCGGTTGAGGCCGAGCTCGAGCTCGCGTTTCCTTTTAAGTAAGTGAAATTGTTAAAATTCCTAAATTTCTTTTCTTTCTTTTCCTCTCCTTTCATTCCGCTCTCTTTGCTTCTTTCTCGACATCGTGTCGTCAAGGTTACCGCCTTCTTTCATTTCCCTTCTAAAAATGGCCAACTTTTTTTTTTCTATTCGCGTTATTTTTTTTCTTTTTCTTCCCCTCTCCCCCCCCCGCCCCTCCGTTTACACGCGTACCTCCCTTTTCATAGTGGCAAACTCTGTTAACAGTGACAGTGACTATTACGACACTCACATTCTCGGAACGAAGTGCTCGTAAAATGTGAGCTGTACAGTTGCTGCTCCCTTCCTCCTCTATTAAACTTGTAAACGAGGGGGTCAGGGAAATCGGTTATCGCAAATTTTCTCCATCGCTGCTTTTACCGTCGATCGAATACGTTCAACGATCTCGTCAAATTCAATGATCAGCGCGATTATTCCTTCCCTTTGTCTACGTTTCAGCAATTTTCCACCAATTTTTCGCCACTCTCATTATCATTTTGATAAAATTGTCTCTCCTGTATTATATAACCATCTGCGAATTGGATTAAAACACTTTTATTTCACTTTCAATTTTTCTTCTTTCGCTCGTTATCCGTTTTCTTTTCCTTTCTTTTTTTTTTTTTTTAACGAATATTTAAAATATTTCAGCAACACGTGTTTCAACGCGTCCGCATTTAAAAACGGCTGGCAATCAATACGTGATACCCGCATCCGTAAAAAAAAAAAAAAAATCCCATGCGAAATTTGTTTCGAGGCAATTTCCCTATCATTCGTTTTTCTATCGAAGAAGAACGAAAGAAATACGCGGGGCGAAAAATAGGAAATGGAAAGAGAGAAGGAAAAATAAATAAATAAATAAATAAAAATTGGGGAAAAAAATATTTCGGATAAAAAAATATTTCGTTCTGATATATCGCGTTTTTTAGTCGATACGAGAATAGTTTCCATTTATACGTTCCTTTCTTTTTTTTTTTTTTTTTTTTTAATTGAATTCTATACGNGTTTTTTTGAATTCCTCGAATCTTTGTCCTCGTGTCACGAACGAACACCGCTAAAATTAGTATTGCGTGTCGTGAAGCAATTAGAAAGTTGTTTGAAAGATGCTTGCCCGTATCAGCCGATTCGTTTCGTTCGTTTCAGTTAATTCCCGTATCAGTTTGTAACGATTGCCATGTTTCTTTCGTTTATTTTATCGATAACGTAAACGGCCCGTTTGATGAACATTTATTGAAAATTCCAATCAATTTGATGGATATTTTTTAATTTATTTTCCACCGTGATTCGATTAATTAGTTTTCTAGATCCATTCTTTTCTCGGCAAATTATTGAAAAAAGGTATATATAATACAGGAGAAAATCTTTGTCGCGTTTATCAGATGAATTTCCAATAAGAAAGTATTATTTCATTCATTTATTCTTAATTTTTCATGATATTTTTAGAAATTTGTATTTTTACGCATAACTTTTTATATTATCATAATACAATGAACTTTTTATTTTAGTAGCCTCTCATTAATCATAGTTTTATTAGTAGATATATTTTCTTATTATACAAATTTTCAATCTTTTTTAGAGATTAAAATTTATGAAAAATTGATCATTTTGTTTATTATTATTATTATTTTTTTTTTTTAACAAGTCATTAAATAAAAACTTGATCAAATAAAGTTTTACTTATCTATTTCTAATTCTTAATGCAGAAACTTAATAATTTTTATACTATAGTACAATAATTTATTT